AGTATAGTACTACGAATTGCTTTAATAAAATATAGCTGGGCCCAAATTAATAAGTGAAACGCAGTACTGTACTGCGTTTTAGTAAAACGCAATATAGTACTGCGAATTAGTTAAAAAAATATAATTTTTAAATAATACGCAGTACTATACTGCGTTTTACCTAGTTATGTAACTTTTTTTTTTGTAGCATTAGAAACGTGCTTTTTGTCCAAAAAAGCATCAAAAAAGTTTCGGACTCTAACCAAATCCGGTATGGATCCCACACCCATACCCACACCCACACCCACACCCATGTTGTGTCGACACGGATGCGACGGGGATTTGAAGAGTCCGCAGCATAAGTTACAAACATGTTTATTTAAAGTTTCATTCTTTTTATATTCAGATTTTGTCAATTAAGGACATCTTGTCAATATTTCTCATTAATAATTCGAATCTTGATCTTTTTTCCCTTTCTCTTCCTCGGTGAGAGGGTAGAAAGGAGTGATATAAAGTTTAATCTTCTCTATGTCACGTTGGAAAGATGTTTAATTTTCTCTCTTTTGATGTTTTACCACAACTGAAGGTCTTTAGGTCTCTTTTGACTGGATAGTTGCTCTGCAAGTCTCTAACACATGATTAGATGCAATCTGTTGTTGTTTGTTCAATAATTTCTAATATCTGATCGTAGACATTTTTCTTGTTAAATCTCTGATCTTGCACACTTATTGCGTCAGGCTGCATTATTTTTTGGAGTGGAAAAGCTTCTTTTGGTTTGTCGAAGTTGGCTGAACTATGTAATATCAGAAGGCAGGATTTGGCCTCCTCCATTGCATTTAGAAGATTTGATCCATATCTGGGAGTATGGTAGAGAGAATGGTAACAATGTCTTTTATTTTTGGTTACTGGAAAAATGATAATTGCAGCATATTGCTCTTCATATTACATTTTTAATGTGATACCATGGGTTGTCTCTTATAGATTAACATGGGATATCATGCAGCAACTGATTTTATTCCACAATTGACTGATTGTCTGGCGAGGAACTTTGTAAGTGCTTAAATTGTACTTTGTTCTGTTGTTGAATGTTTTCTTGAATTCATTAGTTTGATTCAAATGCATATATACACAGCATGCCTCTATAGGATGGTTGATTAAACCGTACTGCACATCCTTTAATGTTTCTTCGTCCATCCCTTCTCTTCCTTGATTTCGCTCCTTCTCCAGCCTCATTTTTCTTCTCCTCCATCCAGTTGCTATCTCTTTTCCATTTCCTTCATGCTTCTTTCTTCTCTTTCCCATTGGCAACTTCCATAAAGACAAGTTGCAAAAGATTTTGCAACAATTTTGCTGTTTAGTTGCAGAACTCACTTGATGTAATGATCAGGTCAATGGTGTTCTCATTTTTTGACAAGTTATCTGGAAACACTAATATCGCATGTGGTTAGGATTAGATGAAATGTGAATTTTGAGACAGTTGTTACCAAGAAAAATTTTCAGCATAGTAACTGCAACAGATTTGTCTTTCTGAGGGGTCTTTGATAATGGAAGAGGTTCTATTCATGTTCTTGTTTTGAGACTATTGTAAGCCGGTGAGAGAATGTTGTTTTGTTACTTTTTGTTAAAAATATATCTCTCGACAAGAGGGGTTGCTCTGATGGTAAGCAACCCCCACTTCCAACCAAGAGGTTGTGAGTTCGAGTCTCCCCAAGAGCAAGGTGGGAAGTTCTTGGAGGGAAGGATGCCGGGGGTCTATTTGGAAACAACCTCTCTACCCCAGGGTAGGGGTAAGGTCTGCGTACACACTACCCTCCCCAAACCCCACTAAGTGGGATTATACTGGGTTGTTGTTGTTAAAAATATATCTCTCAAAACGTTTTTAGGGAAAGAACCATTTTTTAAAAGAAATAGACAAAATGTGCACACTTGCTTTGAAAACCATCCTTTTCTCCACACCCTTACTACTCCACCACCTGCCAATTTACCTACTCACTCTTTGTTAGTCACTTCGCATTTGTTTTAAAGAAATTTTCATGCCATTAGATCTGCTTCAGTTTTTCAGTCTTTTTTTATTTTTTTTATGTCAGTTCTTCCAAAACAACAAAAAATGTATTACTTTGAAATATTAGCAGGAACATTTCTAGCTACCAAACAACCCCAGGAGCAGTTGCAGTGATTTACCAAAATAAGCCAGTGAAAACATGTTGTCCTTCATATTAGTTTTAAGTATTTTGAATTTTAAGTTGCGATGTCACATCACAGGATCTTTTCTAGTCTCCATCAACTGTTTCAGATGTAATTTTCTTTCTTACTGCAGATATGGATGACTTCTTGCGACTCCTTTCACAATGTCCCTTTTGAATTGTTGCTTTCCTGTGTAAAGCATCCTTGTTTGACAGTAGACAGGTTGGTACTCTCTTTATCTATTAAAATAAAGGGTTGCCTGATGCAATGTCTTATTTCAACTGCAATACTGATTCCATGGTGACTTTTCACAGCGAGAAACATCTTTGTGATTCTATTCTACTGTGGCTTGCTGCCAACACCATCCCATATGATCTTTTGAACTCCACTGGGGATGCTCGCCTTGAAATTTTCACAGAGGTATAAGATACTGGAGGGATTGAGTTCAATCACATGATATTTTCAATTGAATTTTGTCTGTCTTTGTGTATCTAGAGAGGCTTAAGGGGGGGGGGGGGAACAATTTCTCAGGGTATTCTTTCAGAATTGAGGAAAACTGGAACTAGTCATGCACGGGTGCATGCTAAAGTGCGACCGCATTAGCAAATCAGGTTTAACCATCTGTGTAAGGAGGACATGTAAGAATAGTCTAGCTTACTTGGTGAGGTTAGTAATCAACGCTGATTTGGACTTTTGCATTATAAGATCCCGGAAGTGTATATCCTTAATTAAAAAGGAGGATTCAGGAAGTTATTTTTTTAAAACAGGCAAGAAGATTTGGGAAGTGGATATTCTTTTTCTCTTTTAACAAAATAATAGTGTTTTTTCCTCTTTGTTTTTGTTGTTTTATGACATCTCATATGCGTGACTCTTATCTTAGTTGATGACATGCCTTTTTAACCGATTTTGAACCTCACACTCAATCTTCTTGTAGAAAAGAGTATGGAGCAGCTGGTGCTCAGTTGTTTGGTTTTCTTTGCATATCTGATTTACGTAATAATATTACAGGTGCATTGATCTCAGTCCTAGTCTTCCAGTTGACAAAGTGGTCCAGTTTGATAATTAACGAATATATTATATATGGAAGGTATTAATGTGAAATGAAACTCACGAGCAACTGAATCCCTTTTAGGTTAAAGGAAATTTTTGCCACTATTGCTTGAAAAATTAAACATCTAAAAGCTACAAGCTGAAGGCCTATGATTCTTGCACAGATATCTCTGCTATGTATGCATTTGAATCCTCTCTTGATTACACTGAGTAATTTATGTGACCTTCATTGTCTTTCTGAACAGATCCGCACTAGCCTTTTGTCATTGCCATTTGCTGCGGGTATGACCAGCCCTTTAAGTTGTTATTTTCAAAGCACTAATGCTCAAGTGTTATGTATCATCTGATCATTTCCGTATTTTTTTTTTTTTTTTTTCATTT